ATGCGACGAATCTTTCTGCGCAAATTCAGGAACGGCTGCACAAAGCCTTTCCGCCTAAAGTGAATGATCCAAGGAAAGGCTATATATCCCAAGAGGCATGGGCGATTCGAGCATCGCGGATGAGGATAAGGCAGCAAATCCAGACTGCAAGGAACTCCCTCCACCACTCCACCCAGCAAGCTGCATGGGACAGTTGGAAACGGATGGAGCCGCTTGACGTCAGTAAGCTCCTTGCGAAGACTTGCAAATGCTTTGTTTCCTTGTGGAAGCTGAAGCTTTTAAGCTCCACTGAAGCTAAGCGCCTCAAAAAACAACTGCGATGCGATCGTACCCTTTTCCTTGAGAATCTGGCCAAGCAGATGCCAACTATGAGCCAGGCTGATTTCTTCCAGGCGCTACGAAGTGCAGGAGTGAAAAGTGCAAAAAAGCCTGGGCCCATACAGCCGCTGCCGATGCTAGCAGAGGACGATGGTACACCCATTCTGGATCTGAACCGGATACGAGAAAAATGGAGAACATACTTTGCGGCGCAGGAGGACGGGGTTGCTACCACGCCAGAGGGGTTGATGCAGATCTGTGATGAGCTAGGAAAAAAGGGGCGACCATTGCCGCAATGGGATGATTTGCCCACTATCCTGCAGATCGAGCGCCAATTTCGTGCGACCAAAAACGCCAAAGCTTACTTTGTAGACGGGGTACCTGGAGATGTCTTAAATAGGGCACCGTCTCTAATGGCCAGGTTGTACTACCCTCTTTTCCTAAAAGAGGTGATGATGCTTAGAGAGCCATGCGTCTTTAAGGGGGGCACGCTTGTCCCTGCTTTCAAGAGAGGAAACCCGGCATGTTGTAGCAGCTATAGGAGTCTTTTTGTCAGCTCGCCTGCAAGCAAAGCATTACATGCGGTCTACCGCAAAGAGCTCATAGCTGACTTTGCTCAACGACGCCTTCCTATGCAATTGGGGGGTATACCAGGATTCTCAATTACCCAGGCGGCGCATGCTGTGCGTCTGTTCCACCACACAGCTGCAATCAAAGGCCGCAGCTCAGGAATCCTTTTTGTCGATGTAAGCAATGCGTTTTACCGGTTGCTCAGAAGACATGTGATCTCCTCTCAAGTTGATGACCGAGCTTTTGAGACGATCTTTGCAGAGATGGGATTGCCAGAGCATGAATATGGTGATTTCCTTGCTTTGATAGAACCAGAGCCAGCAATTGAGGCATCTGAGGTGTCACCTTACGTTAAAGAGCTTTTTCGAGCATTTTATGAGGCCACGTGGTTCCAGATCCGAGACCATGATGTCTTGACGCGCACGCGTCGAGGATCGAGACCGGGTGATACTTTTGCTGATATGGCATTTGGGTACGCCCTGCATCGGGTTTTGGCCCCAGTCTTTGCTGCCTTGGAACAAGAATTCCCTGACATTGCCATACAGGCAAGTGTAGATGTCCACCCGTATAGTGTCACCGAAGAGGTTGTGAGCTTGGGCGTTTTGGCGCCTATTTGGGCGGACGATCTTGCGGTTTCTTTTGCAGCAGATTCTGTTGAAGATGTGATTTACAGAGCTAAACGGATCGCTGGAACTATTTTTGACCGACTAACGCTTGCGGGATTAACACCCAATCTTGCAAAAGGCAAGACAGAATTGATGCTTACTTGCAGAGGTAAACGCTCTCTGGAAGCCAGGAGACAATTGTCTCACCAGGGGCATGAAATTCAAACATCCACGAGACTTGTCCTGGATAAGCTGCGACTTACTGGAAGCTATAAGCATCTGGGGACATGGGTTGAACAAAAGCAGGGCATCCGAAAGGATGTGTCTACAAAGTTTGCTGCAGCCCATGAAGTGATGACGCGCTACCGAAGTCAAATTTTTCGAAACCGACAGCTGTCTCTAGACAAAAAGAGACAATTTTTCGACTCGTTAGTTTTCTCAACAATGTCCTTCAACATGGCTTTGTGGCAATCTCCCACGAAAAGGCAGGATCGACAACTGGAAACAGGGTTTTCGAAACTTTTCAAACGTTTTGCCATCATGCATTTCGGACAAGACGCCATCCCTTGGTCAAACGAACGTGTTCTCCACGAAACGGGGCTACATAGCCCAGACACTCTACTGTCTGTCGCACGTCTACGGTATGTCAACCATTTGATGAGAAACGGCCAGCTACATGTCTGGGCTTTGATACGAAGTGAGCAGATATGGTGGCAGCGAGTTGAGGAAGATATAGCATGGCTTCAGCAGTTTTGTCCCGAAGCTGATGTGCCATCACCAAAGCTTGACTGGCAGGCATGGAAAAGCTTCATGGAACAGCCGGCCTCTAAATGGAAGGCCCTGCTGAAGAGAGCTTCGGCCCGAAGCAAAGCTTATTTTCAAAGACGTTTTGCCTGGGAGGAGTGGCATGCCAAGATTTTCCATGACATACTAGAGGCTGGATTAGGCTGTTCCACAACCCCTGTTTCTAAAGCTTCTCATTACTGCCTGCAATGTGAAAGGACTTTTATCAGTGCATCAGCCTGTGCTGTACATTCGTTCAAGAGACACAATAGGGCAGCCAGGGCGCGCGATTTCGTTACTGGTGAAGTCTGTGAAGCATGCCTCAAGGTGTTTTCTTGCCACGTTGACTTGCTCAACCACGTGAACAGGCAGACCGCGTGTTTCCGACTTTACGAAGGGCGCGGGCAGCAGGTCGAGAGAGAGCCGGGTGTCAACAGCAAGCAAGCGAACAAGGGACGGTCTGAATTAGCTGATCCATATATGCAAGCTGAGGGACCTAGACCAGTCTGGGAAGAGCTCTACGGGGCGCGTACTGTGCTTGCTGAACAGAAGATAGCGCTACACCGTTCGTGGGGAACAGCTGTTCAAGGGCTGGAGCAATCGGATGACATCCTAGAAGCCCTCCGACTGGCAACTAAGGTCACCTTTCTCTACCATGAGGAGATATTGCAGTGCTTCGACGACTGGAGCCAAAACTGGCTCGGTCTCCACGAGGAGGCGCCCCTAACCATGATGTCGGCATTCCAGCTGTTCAAGATCAGTGCCTGCGGAGAGTGGTTTCTTGAAGGCAGATACGCTGACCAACATGAGCATGATAGGGCAATGGCTTTCTTCTGGAAGCAGTCGCAGGACATGAGAGAGCTTCGGTACGAGCATCCAGAGAGAGTCCGCTACAGGCCCCGAATGGTGGCTCACCTATTCTCAGGGGCTAGGCGCAACTTAGACGTACAGGAACACCTGGAACAGAGAAGTTTCATGGCTGTTTCAATCGATATTATTTTTGACGCCAGGTGGGGCGACTTAAGCCGTGAGGAGACCTTTAATCTCTTTGCCGAAGCGCTCCGTGCAGGCTACCTCGTGGCGTGGATCGCTGGCCCGCCGTGCGAGACATGGTCCATCGCACGCTACAATGTGCTCCCTGGAGGCCCCAGACCGGTCCGCCGACGGGGATCCCCGTGGGGGAATTTCGACCTCACATTGAAAGAGCACCAACAGGTGGCGATTGGGAGCCTGCTGCTTGGCATCACGATCAGGCTCATGTGGATCACGATTCTCGCTGGTGCCACTTCTGTCCTTGAACACCCAAGCGATTTGAGCCTAGATGTCAACCGTCCAAGCATATGGCGACTTGCGATCATTCGCTACCTTCTGCGTTTTCCACAGTGTGACTTGGTAGAGATATTGCAGGGCCATTTTGGAGGTGCTACTCCTAAGCCAACTACTCTTTTCATTATCAACGGTGCTGTCGATAATGCTGGGCTTCTCAAATCCCTGCAGACAACACCTCTCCCAAAGACTTGCGCCTTCGGTCGCGGTGAGGACGGCAGTTGGAAAACTGCAGCCCTTAAGGAATATCCGCCTGGCCTGTGCAAGGCTCTATGCTGTATAGTTGAAGCAGGCCAGACGAATGGTCCACAGGAGGAGGACGCTGAAATTCCGGCTGTCTTCCTCGAAACCATTCGCGAGCTGACCAGAGATTTCAATTTTCTGGCCGAGCGAGGACCTGACTTCCACGCTCCTACTGCATGAATTCATAATTAGATGCCTGGTCGCGGACGACAGTCTAAGGCAAGCAGAAGAGGAAAAGATCTGAAGGGTCTGAAGATGTCTGAGGTCGACCAGGTCGACCAGTGGAGCATCCTTTGGAGCATCAAGGGGGTACTCCTTCACACATTCAGACCTTTTTGAGAGGAATGTGATTGGATCCTGGAAATACCTGGAACCCAACATATCAGAGACCGTTGTTGTTCTTTTCTGAGAAGTGGATGGAACAGTGGCAATGAGGGGGGCAATGCAAGAGATTCCCAGTGTGAGCCACCAAAATAAGACAGATGGGACATGATGGGATAGTATATTGGATGGGAAAGCTCAGAAACCTCGTATCTCCACAGTAATTCAGGCTCGGTATTGGAGCTGCCGCTTATATAAAGTGTAAGGAATCAAGCGTATCAGCCCTGTCAACGTAGGTACAGAGTCCAGATATATCCACAATATGATCAAATATGGATCCCTGCCCCGGTGGTGGATTGAGTAGAAGAACTCTTCCAAGTGCAACTTTTCTCTCTCACACATCACTAACACAGACCTTTGAAACACTCAAAGCGGCTCATCTTGGATTTGCCTCTCTGGACCTGGGAAAAGAACAACAATTCCATACAATTCCTACAGATTCCACTCGATTCATGTCACAACCAGTGGGCTTCCTCAATGATCTTCCTCAATCATGTGGTCTGTTCAGGCGTCATTCATGTTTCAGAGCCACCTGCGACCGACCCGGGACACGTGTTGGACGAACCCCAAAAAAGAAAACACGTGTTGGACGAAGTCCCAACATGTGGGAATCAGACCCATCAGCTTCCAACAATCCACCCCCCCACATCAATAAAATCTGAAAAAAAAGGAAAGTCTCCATCCCTAAAAACCGAAGCGAAAACGTCTCCGCAGTGGACGACCTCGTCTCCCAGGTTCTCCCAGTCTCCAGCCCTCGAAGGAGCCGTGGGGCGCCTTCTTGCTCGCATAGGCTCGGCTCTCGGATTCGTCCGGCGTATCGCTCGCGTCGGTCCTGGCCGGGCACATGGTCGGTCCATGCGCCGGCCAGGCTCGAGCTGTGCGGCTCGTCCAAGGCCGACGACACGCACATGTCAGACCTAGTGGTGATGAAAAACCATGTGTTTTGACGGTGTTTGATGGTGTTTGGCCTCCGAGACATCCATTCTGCTCCCCCAAAAAAGGATGCGCACCAACCTGGTGAATCATGAAGCACACACCGATCCCACCGATCCCATTAACGCAAGGTGGGATAACCGATCCCAGGCGATGGACGACCAAAGCTGGCGATGGACATTGGACTTCCAAGGATCCAATCTGAAAGCGCCTCAAAAAGACACGAACTGTACACAGTACACCCGGATAGAATCCTGATCCTGCCCGGATAGAATGGGTGTGTCAAATAGAAGGGGTAGTTGGGAACCAAGTCCGTTTTCCCCCCTGCGTCGCTCTGCGGGTTTGCGTTCCGGTCTGATCGTCACTGGGCGGTTTACCCGTGGCTGACCCCCCCCCCCCGAGCGGTTGATTCACCAGTTCTTTTTTTATGTGGAGAAACCCATTCCCAAAAAAGAAGCTTTAAAAACATGTTAAAGCATGTTAAAGCTATTCTATTCTCCGCCTTTTCGGTTTTTCGCAGTGACCACTAACCTCGCCCAACCTCGCCCATGGATGTCCACGAGCTTGGTCTAAAGACGTCACTAGTAGCGTCCTTGCTCCGTTCGTAGCGATGCACCTTGCTACGTTCGTAGCTTCTTGCTACTAGTAGTAATGCCAGGAGCTACGTTCGTAGCGTCCTTAGTCCCTTGCTCCTCTCATCACTCTCGTCTCTCCTCCGACTTTCAGAGCCCAAGAAGGACCCCATGGGCGTGGGCAACGGCGCCCAATCCTCCACGGCGCCCAACAGAGCCCGGACGGTGGCGGCGACAGCGACGGGGCGTCGAGTCGGTTTCGGCCGGTGAAGCCAAGTCGAGTCGCAATTTCTGGAGGTTTGGGAGGGCAAAGGGAAGTGCCCAGTGCCAGACGCAACCCTGGAACCTCACAATATGGAGGGGCCGGATCCCGAATTTTCTGGAGGGGTCTGGGTCGAACCAATCCCTAGGTTTTGTGGGGCAAGGGCTGTTTGGAGCGTCTGGGTGGGGCTGTTTTCACTCACGGAGCGTCTGAATGGGACTGGATGAATGAATTTCGGATGAGAGATGATGGGAGAACACTCGAAGATCTGATACTTGAACAGAGTCTGTCTGAATTAGTCGGATTCTGCCAACTCGGTGGTCCTGTGTGAGTCAGTAAAGGGATCATGGGAACCTCACCATCCAGGGCTCATGGATTCATAAAATCATATAAACCCCGTTTCAATTACAGGATTTACCAGGGCCCTAAGGCATGGTTAATGGACACCCCGTATACCCTCTAAGGGGTCATCAGACACCCCTTAGGGGTCGCCCTGATGGATGTTTTGATGACACATGTGCTCCGGACTCGGAGTCCTGGCTGATACAGAACACATCAAAACATGCCACAACTCTCAAGGTGTGCGAGGGCGAGCGCTGATATCTGTTACACCCGCGCTTTGCAGATCTTCTCTTCGTCGGTGTGCAAACATCGTGGGTTGGAGAACCCAGTGTTGCCTGTGCTGCCATGGTTGGCCTACACGGCGGCAGGTAATCTGAACATCGATCTGTCCAATTCACTTCAACAGCAGCTAAGAGTCAAAGGGACTCCAGTCCAACGCGGCAGTCTCGCTATTAGTAGACTCTTGAAAAGTCAACCCCCCCCAGGCCTCTTCAGAGGTTTCACATGGTTGTAAAATCCATAATTGCTTTTTCATCAAGAGTCTACATTCGAACGACGGACTGCGATTTTTCATCACAGGCATCCCGGCGGATTGTTCTAACTGCGCCGCTCGCGGTGATGATCAATGTATGGATGTGCACTTAGAAGATCTTACAAGCGAAGGTTAACATCCCAACCCATCCCACTACTCCACGCCGTGCTCCAACTACTCCTCTTGCGTCCTAGACAACTACACGGTGCGGATGTTTCAAAAGCCGTGACTCCGACATCCATGCTCTTCTGCGGCCGACTCGTCTCACAGACTCGGCTCTGCGGTGTCGTGCGGGCACTGCGGACGCAGCGGACGCATCTGGAACACTGAAACGGTGCATCCCCACCAAGACCCTTCACCCGATGGCAGATATGCCAGCCAGCCTATGGTACCGCTCCTTCGGTAGCGATGTAGCGAACGAGGTACCGCAGAATGGACCGGAGGCCCGTCCGACCATTCTTTCGCCAAATTCCCGAGTTTTGCTCAACTGATGCGCGTGGTGGACGCTGCACCACCTGTTCAAGGCCCTGTTTCCGAACCGAGACCAGCTTGACCAGAATGACACCTTGCCCAGTTGTCCAGTCGTGAGAGACAAGCGGACAAACAACGATTTGGATCAAACGACCAGTGTTCACACATGCACCCATGCAAATTGAACTGTTGTGCTCCTTCATGGACCAGTCACATACTGTTGTGCTCATATCATCCACCGTGGTTCAGGTCTGTGCTGAGCTTGGCTCCCCAGCCATCGATCGGTCTTCCCGAAGAAAAATGCTACGAAAACAGAGAATTGAATCCCTATGTGAGACAACCTGATCTTCAGACTCATATCAATCCCGTGCTGCCTCATAGTTTAAAAGAAACACGAAAAAGCGCCTTGTTGGGCTGATGGCTGAAGAGGCCAACATCCGCTTCGATCCTTACAGCACTGTGCTGGGGGGTTGGAATCGGGGGGTTGCCTAAAGAGGGGGGGGCTTTGGCAGTGCAAGACTACGAACGAACAATACACCACAACACTATAAAGGTGGGTTGCCTTAAGATTTTCTTTGGCGGTCGTTGACAGTTGAGCCAAGAGTTCTGAGATGGATGTATAATCACTGTACGGAGATGTTGATGCACTTACAAGTAAGGGAAAAGACCACTGCCAGAGAACAATGAAGAGGCAAGCAACACAAACAAAGAAGCAAGCGAGTAAGCAAAGAAAGACTCAAATAAACAAACAAACACACAAACAAAAAATAACAAACCAACCGAATTAACACAAACATACACAAACCAAAACAAACAAACAACAAACACCGACTGAGGGAGATAATGAAAAAAAACTGCGACTACTTCGACCTAGAAACAAAGCACATGTAGCCAATAGTAAAAGAGCCAGAACATGAGGCTTAAAAACTGCACACATTTAGCAACCAAAGACCCTAAAGATTCGCATACTGCACATCCATAGTATATATGCACATCCATAGTATATATGCACATGCTTCGCCACTCAAAAGAGACTCTGCTTCTCGTAAGGGAAAAACATGTCACGGATACAGCAGCATCACTGGGCGCCGACCGAGTCGCTACAGGCGCCGACCGGTGTGGCAAAACAACATCCCAAAAGCCCCGCCGACCCTGGAAATTCATGTTCCATTGGTACCTGCGCCATGGAAATCTGTGATATCAACACGTTTTTTAAATGTGTTGTTCGCGTGTGTTTCGCGCATAACCATAAACATACCGAACTGCGCAGATTTTTTACGTGGCCCGTGGGTACAAACATCACTGAGCAGCCAGCTTCTTGTAGCTCTCCGGCTTCTCGACCAGCTCCATCTTTCCACAAATCTGAGCGGAGAATAAAATTCTAGAGTGAGATCCATCCAAATGTTAACTGTGTTGCCCCACGTTTGCATGTGGGCAGCAAAAAGAGGGAGCGGGCGGCAGAGTGGTATGTTAAACTCAACCACTCATGGACTGTGGACATCAAAATTTGATAAAGGAATATAAAATATAAGAATCCATACCATGGGCCCTCCAGTTCGCAGGGTGGAAACGGACCAAACCTCCACCGATCAGGGGGGGACCCGGATCCCCAAATCCTATGTGTTGCTTCGTGCCCGGATTCGGTGGAGAGCAATTGGTTGTTTCGGTTCCAATCCGCTTGCGGGTTTTTCCGCATCCTGATCCATCAAATCTAAATCTGATCCATCAAATTTGCAAACAAGACACATCAGCCGTGATTCCCAAACCAACAATCACAGAGTCCAGTCTGACCCAGGAAAACTGGTCCTGAAAACCTCCTTTCAGTCGTGTTCTTTAGTTTTTTAAAATCACCAACACCCAGTCAAATGAGGTCGAACTGACCTCATTTCCACCTCATCAGTTACTCCATTCTCGATGAGATTCATCCAAAGAGGTAGCCATCAGAAGGGGAAGGGCTTCCCCATTTGGATCTTATCTCATTCGCAATTTTTGAAGACGACCCGAGCGGCGCCTCGATGATTTGCTGTCGGGTGTAGCGACGGAAGGCATGGCGATACCTGGAGTGCTCGGACACGCTCCGACGAGCGACCGACGAGTTACCAGCAGGTTTTTGTTTGAAACGAGACGAGGAAAACGGGGGGGGGCAGCCGTAGAATGGTATAGGATATATATGGGATATCTGGTGGGACCTAAAGCTCCAAAACAATCCATCCTGAAGCTGGTTAGCTTTCTCTCTTTGACGCATTGGACAACACTCTGGACTAGACTACATGCCTACATGGGTGTGTCTTAAAATAGGTGGACCTCTCAAAGACCCCCTGCAAGAAAGGAAACAGACCAAAAACCTTTGGGCCAGGGGGCCAGAAAGCCACCTCCCAAAAAAAATACATACCCACATTGACCCCTGAATTCAAGATAAATCAACCACTCCAGGAGTAGTTTCTTATGACATGTCTGAGACGCGCTTGCGAGTCCGGCGTTTTGAAGTGACAAACTCGCAGCGGTTTACGGATTTGGGACTTTTAAAACCAGGTCAACCAATTCTTTTGATGGTCCAACTCAAAGCTATAGGGTGTATACAGTATATCTATATACATCTATTATATACCGTATACCTCATGTTCCTGCGAGAATTAACAATCCAGTGAGGAAATTCTATGGCTATTGCCACGGCCTTTTGTTCAGGAAGACATGCAAATCATCCAACTGCCCAAGTGTGTTGAACAGCTGCAACACACAGTAGCAAGCAGGTTTCACCTGCTGGCATCTGAAAACAAACGTACGTGCGGTACATGGCTGGCTGTGGAGCCAAAACCAGGAGACCCTTGGTGACCTACCGACGATACGGTCTCCACTCACCGACCCCATGGACTGACCCCGCGTCGCACCCGCTGGTCTCGTCGTCGTCGTCGCGGGCCTGACGAGGCGCAACGAGAGGCGCAACGAGGGGCCGAAGACAGGGCTGTGGCAAGTGGCGCCAAGCTCTGGCCTCCACTAAAGAGGAGTACGTATGCAAGGAGGCAGGTAAGAACAGCAGCAGCAACAATCTTATGTCAGAATGAGGGCGCTATCGGAGGGATGCTAGTGGAAATGTTGCCCCATACAAGTAGATTGAAGTGCCTTCTTCTTTTTCATGGTTTGTTAAGTAAGTTAAGTATTAAGGACTGAAGACAAGTTGACGAAGCAAGCTTGAATTCTGTCAACCAGTGCCAGATATATACCAGTGCTTAGTTTCCCCAGCCGTGTTTCTCTTGGCAGCCATGGGTGGCGAAAGGGATAAAGAGATAAAGAATATGATCTTAGGCTGGCTGACAAACTTCAAACAGTTGATGAGGCTTTAGCAAGAGAGAGAGAGATAGGGAGGGAGGGAGGAATTCAAGAGCCTTTGTTGCTGGTTTTGGATGTCAGAGCCATTCATGTGCTGATGCATCAGTGGCATTCTGGTCAGCTATATAAGTCTAAGTCGTGTTTCAATGTGTTTCATTCTTGTTGGTTTCAAATGTTTTTGAGTGTTCCTCTATCGTTGCTAGTCCGCATAGTGAAAAAAACCTGGCTGGGCCCCTTTACCGTTGAAGATTGGCCAAGGTTTCACAGGTTTCTGCATTGACACCATCGATTCTAACACCAGAACACACGCTACAACAAACCACAACATGTTAAACCCAACAGTTGCTTGATATGCGAAGAGAGCACGATGACCGCACGATGATGGAGCGAGGGTCACTCCGACAGACTGTCTTGAGACTAAAAGGGACAAGAACTGGCTATCTACTGTATCTGGTAGGTTGACCTCCTGTCTGGTAGGTTGACCTCCAGCGTTCCCGGGTGTTGACCCACAGCCATATTTGCAAATGGTATATTGACTCATGATACTCATGCTAATTATTTGCATTTGCCTATATTTATATCTCGGAAAATCATGGTGTCCATGCCATTTGCCAATAGATGTTCACATTCCGGTCAAACACAATAGGCCTTTCCGATCCTTTCCGTCTATTTCCACAATACGCCCCCCAAAAGAAAAACATCCAAGGATGTTCCAACCAAACCCGAAAACCCCTCCTCATCCAACTTGAAAGCTTGGGTCCTGATCCCCTATTAATCCCAGATCAAACCCATCCGAAACCCTCCAACTTCGGCACCCCCGACCCTTTCGGACGATCAACGAGCGCTCGCGCAACCGAACCGATGCCGCGCCTCGCTGGTGGGGCGAGAGGCTTCCGACACAAAAAAAGAAAAGAGGTGCATTTCTGCGAGGCTGATTGTATCCTGGGAGTGTCAGAAATAGACGTGAAATATATATAGAAATAGACGTGCAAGTCGTTTTTTTAAAGATTGGAGTTCCTTTTCCGAAATCCATCAGCCTGGGGCTGAGATGTTCCAAAAGGGTATCTCGGCATCTCAAGAATAGGCATTTGAAGCTCGTGATTGGAAAGCGCAGATCTGAGCTTCGTGCGTCTCACGCTCCAGCTCCGAGACTCTGCATGACATAGGAGGAGCTCTGTGTTACTCTGTACTTCTCACGGATCGGATCTTGTTTGAGGACTTCAGGAGGTACATGGGGTACCTTGTTTCATTGGGCCCACGTGTCATGGAGTCCAGGTCTCATATAGAGGAGACTGTGGGCAAACTCCACGTGTTCTTCTCAACAGCCCCGCCCCGCCCTCGTGGAGAAATTGCATGCACAGCCCGCGCACCGTGGGACATGAACTCCGGAGGCCATGCGATGGGATATGATGTGATCGTTCGGACACGGATCTCACCACACCGGCGGATCTCGGGGTGACTCTCGCATGGGTGTTCCGTGCTTTTCCACTTCGAAAAATTCAGGAAGTACAGGTTGAAGGATCTATCATATCATATCTAAAACATTCCGAAACCATTTTACCTGGCTGGCCAACCTGGCTCGTCACCGGATTTGGCCGCCTCCTCGCTCCTCATGCTGTGCATCCGCTCCGCACCTTCAGGGACCGGTGCCACGGTGGACCGGTGCACCGGAGGGAGACCCGGAGACCGATGGAGACCGGGGCCACGGACGCACCGGACGGTCGTGGAGACCGGGACGGTCAGGGAGAGGACTGGAAGAGGTCGGAGGAAGTGCATCGTGACACATCGGGGCTGACCCCACTTCTCACCCCGTGTCGTCCGAACCGTACGTTTTTGGTATTCTGATCGGATTCTTTTTCAGCCGCGCGATGAACAGAAGACACTGAAGGTCGGAACCGAAATCGACGACGACTGGAGCGCGATCCACCGAATAGACACCGTGCGGTGAGAACTCATAGACACCCCGGAGGATCCGGTGTTTGGGACCCTGGGCGACTTCAGCTGCGATTCTTTCGTCTCGCATGCATGATGGGTTGATGGGAAGGCTTGGACGGATAGTGATGTTGGTTAGTTGATGTGGGTTGCTTGGTTCGGCCCAGCATCACGCAGCCCAGACGGGCCGTGGGCGCTCCACCCCAGGCGGAATCTGGGAGTCCCGAGCCCATGGCACCCATTGGGCCCATGGTACCGCCCATTGGGCCCATGGCACCGTCCATAGGGCTCATGCCCTTGGCCTCCTTTCCTTTGCCTGGCTGAGATGACCAATCCATGTTCTGAAGCAGCGGAAAGGGAAGAACATCTTCCTGGATTCACCACCACGTCATGTGATGGGGCAGTTCGCACCGTACTGCAATCCTATTGTACAGCCAGCAATTCATACAAACTTGTGTAGTCATCAGCTCCTACTGCGCCCGCTTTAGCTTCATGACTCTCACCGAACCAACCACAGTGAGAAATCACTGGTCTTTCTATCGATTATATAACCCTAGACTCCTAGACTGTTGATGAATAAGAGCCCCAAGCCCAGAGGTGAAAAAGCCTCTTCATATTGGGGAGGTCTTATTCATAATCTCAAACTGCTTTTTTTGCTGAGCCCAGGCCCTCAGGCCCTCTCCCACACCCTCCTTGAACCCGACCGGTGCCTGGACTCTTGCCTTTGCCCTGGCGACTCGACATGTGTGACGTCTCGGAGACTCGGCTACTCGGCGAACGAGGCGAACGAGGCTCGGCTCTTCGTTCGGCTCAGGAGGCTGCGACTCTTCTGACACAAGATGTCTGGGGGTTTGGCCAGCTGAACCCTGAAGCTCTTCTAACCCTTCACATGCGCTAGCAAGAACAGCTTGAAGCATCTGCTTAACCTTGCGGTCTTGGGGATCGCCCGTGTTCCTTCACACGGGTCACACACCAAAGACGCGTGAACGGGTAGGTAGGGATGTATGGAAAGGACCGTTAAGGAAGAGTCGCTCCTTTTTAGCACCCGCCTAAGATGGTCCCCAGCACTCACTACTTGATGTGCTGTTTCTGCAGTCTTGGGAGGACGGTGACTACAGGCTTTGTTCGTTGTCCATCTTGCCTGATGATCCTCATTCGATACTCAATCTTCTGGAGGATGACTTCCAAATTCTTCCACCCCAGTCACCACCCAGCCGCGCCTTCCCTTTGCCAAAGCCGCCAGGGCATGGGCCCGGGCCGCCCGGCATGGGCGCACCCGGCATGGGCATGGGCGCACCCGGCATGGGCGCACCCGGCATGGGCGCACCCGCCACGCTGGGATCGCCTGGAGGAGGTAGACCGTGATGAGGTTCATGAGCTAATGGAGTTGATCTTCTCCAAAAAAGGACTAAGATGACTAAGGAACTCTCCATGATGGTACTCTCCCTGGAAGAAAAACATGGAAGTGGTACTGGCATGGTTCTTTGGAAGATCCATTTCCGACTGTGAATGAGTTCCAGTTATTTCCAGTCTCCAACTTCCCAACCGCTTTACAAATCGGCGCTCATGTAGCGGAAGAAAACGCATCACCTGCATCACCTGCAGGGACACACCCTATCAGTCTTGGCGTTGTGGACCGTACTAGCCCAGAGCTCCCAGCACTGCTGTAGCTCTTCTTTCAACAGCTATTCAGAACTACAGGACAATGTGAGCTGCGGACTTTTACACAGCTCTCAGACTCAGACTCGGTGTGTTTCCGCCTTTGAAGCCCTTCTCCATGCCTTTCCCCTCCTGCCACGGAGCAGATTCATCCGGGTGTGCTGCACGGCGTTCCCTCCCAAAAAGCGACCCTGGCAGTTGCGGTCACAGGCTTTGGAACAATAAGCCCTGCAGGGAGCCAACTCACAGACGCGGCATGGCTAGGGGGTTTGACCCGGGTCGTGAAACATCCATTGCCTTCGGGTTCCCGTCCAAGAACCGCGGTCCACCCTGTACAGGTACCGAACCCAGTAGGGTGCAAATGGTGTTGAACGAGCCCCAAAAGAAGGGCAAGGTACACGTGGCAACCGACTCTGCATTCCGGAGACGCTGTATTCATCCCTACAACCGCAAGCGTTGGCACAGTTGCGTGTTTTGGAACACGAGGTCTCACCGTCCAACAGCTGCGCAGGATCAGGCAAGCGTTGGCAGAGTAATGACAACCTCTGTCAGAAAGACGTGGTCAAACCCAACCCATTCATTCACATTCTTTCAACCCTAAGAAATCCGGACCCTCTGTATACAGTACATCAGCATCCTGTTTGAAGGTCCGCGATCGCTCCTGGCCCTCGTTCCAAGCACTCTGGAGCGCCTGGCCGTCTAAGCAACTTGTCACGTGATGCTGTGTTTAAGTCAAAGTGAGAGCCTAGTTGAAGACACGCCGATATAGCATCCCTTTTGTGTTCCATCGTATATATTCTGGACCACTTCACACTCCGAGATGAGCCTCGACGGTGCGCCGCCTCTTGCCTACGCCTCCCTGAGAGTTCCTACTGGGATACCGGAAGATTCTTAGAATGGCAGCCGCCCAAAAGAGATCTGCTCCGCTCTCTAGCAGAACGCCAACCTACACAGAGTGTAAACTATATAAGGTTGGGAGGCTCTGGAGAGAGGCTGGGAACATTCGGAACCACAAGAGGCTGGGGACCTGACGACCTGACTCACACACCATCGCAACAGGAGTTAAAGAACCCTCACTTCATTATGTAGATTCTTGATACATAAGCATCCCCCTATTATCCACCATGTCACATGTGGATTGTAAATCCAAGTAAAACCTCTCTTCATTTGGACCGGTTGTTATACATTGAGTCTACCGTCTACCCCAAAACGCCCATCCGCCAGTTCATCAACCCCTCAGTGGCCATCCGTGTGGCTGGAGCCTGGGCCACCCATGAACCCTGCGGGCCATCGCCCAATCGAGCCCCGGACCCAGTTGCCCGACCAAGCCTGGGCCCACAACGGCGGCCCGTTGAAACGCGAGGGATCGGAACAGCGACGGCGTCACCCCGGTGATAACTCACCGGGAACAGAAGCTCGGTGGTGATATATCACAAGAACATGGGTGAAAATCACCATGTTTTTGGGAGGGTCATCGGGTTTTTGAGACATGCCCAGAGAAAAAACACATGCAATTGGTGGGATACCAGCATGTTGCCAATGTGCAAAACATGTAGACCCTCCTTATACATATATATATATATCCTTATTAACCTTATATGAGCTTTTTGAAGCGCAAGCAGTCATACCCGACCATCATACCTATTCATCCTTCACTCAATTGATCGATCATATGGCTGTCTGAACCGTATTATAAAAGGCAAGGCCGGCGCTGGCCTGGTAGTCCAGAACTTGGCACTTGGATTAGCACCATCTGACTCTGACTCTGAAACTCATATCTTTTGCTTTGCGCCTTCACACAATACTTCAAGAACCCTAAAGTTTACGCTTCTTACTCTGTTCATCCAGTGTTCACTTTTGGCACCCCAGTGTATATAAACATCCAGATGCTCATGGACCCCCATATAGAGGGATCGGACCCGAATCCTCTGGAGGGGTCTGGGGTTTCAAAAAGCGGATTGGTCGGGCTGCTTTCACGGAGCGAACAGTCCAAATTATCTGTTCTGTCAGTTGAACGGCTCACTAGGCTCCTGGCGGCAGCCCATGCTGGCACACCTCAAACACCATTCGTCTTTCCAGAAACTCATTCCAGCCCTGCCAATCGACAGCGCTACCACTGAGACTCTGCTACCTTTCAAGGCAATTTCGCCCCAAACAAATCCATCCCATCACTGCACCAACGGCGATGCCGTAGCGCGGAGCGCCGTGAAACTCACCCCAAACAAATAGGACTCGGACTAGGACGGTGCTTGTATTTCATGGTGAACTGGGTGCCCCTCCGGATTTGCTTGACCACTTTGAGAGCAGGAAAAAAACACGGCCAAAACACCGAGTGGCCACTCGGGTGCTTCATCTCAGATGAAAAATCGCCCGCGAGTTGCGGAGCGTTCGGTGCGGCAGTGATGGAACTTCACCAAGACCACCCAGTGGGGTTTATAGAAGACGGATCCCCTTGAAACATCCACTGACTGACTGACTGATGTATATTTCATTCAATAGCATCCAATGACAACCCCTTTTGGGTGGTGCTGCTAGTTGCCCCAAACTTGGACCGTACAGGATTCTTTGTGGCCAGATGATGCTGCAGGCTTTTCAGCTTGCAGCGAAGCGTGCGATGGCAAAGGGATGGCACTCCACTCGATGGGCCAAGACGTGGCTAATGTAAAACCCCAAGACGGTGAAAAACGCGCCTTCATGATCCAACCATGCTTTGGGTGATGAAGTTCCCCTTTGAAGGCCTTTCCGACTCGGATCCTCAGCCCGTTCAAGAAGCCGAGGACACCGGAGGAAACCGAAACATACCGAAACCCACACCGTTGCACCCCGTTGCACACCACCGGCTGGTTCGCCTCCGTTCCTCAGCTCCCACACCATGCGCTTGGAGGTTGGGCACCGGCTTCATGGGGAAGAAGCTCCGGAGGAACTGCTGCGACCTCGGTCCGGTCCGTGGTGGTGCGGGTGGTGCGCACGCGGTGGTGCGGGTGTCCGTGGTCCAAGCGGTGGCCCAATGGGAGGAGCTTGCAGTTCTCGGAGCACCACCAGGGCCAGTGATGAATCGACGTGGAACAGCAAAAAGTAACAGCTTGGAAGCTTGATGTTGGGCTGCTGACTGGTTGTGCCCCTCACACACACACACATATATATATATACACACACACATACCCGCAAGTCATTGATTTGCGCCAGGAGTTCCCTCTGCAGGAATGACTTCTTGCATGTTCTGAGCGCCAAGCTTGATAGAGCACTTCACATTTGCTCCACGAAGCTTTTGTGACCTGAACAAACACCAGTGCAGGTCGCAAGAAGAACGTGCGCATCGCAGGCCAGTCAGCTGCACGTCACAGGTCAGCTGCACGGCAAGTCCACATACAGTTGCTTCAAAGTCCCAGATGATCGCCATTGGTTGTGGGGCTGTTGCAAAAAAGGTTTACTGTATCTGATTGTATCTCCTGGCCCATAGACACGTCATGTTTCATGCTTTTCCTATCGTTTCCTTCTATGGTCTCTGTACATCTCTGTACTATATTCATACAAGCTATATAATCAAGTCAGTGTCAGGTTTTGCCCAGAAGGCCCGGGCCTTCGGCCCCGGCCGAAAGCGACCCAAACATACACCCTGAAAATCAGCGCCCGAAGCAATGGGAAGGCTTTTGAGGGGACCCCTGCTATGGAGGCCCTGGTGGATCACTCAAAAATGCCTCCTCCGAACCTCCAAAAAGGGGGGCTATGACCCGACCAAACCCTGAAGCCGCCTGAAGAAGCCATTTGGGGTGTGGGAGTCACCGAATCATTCTGAAGCCCTTCGGGGCGCCGTCCGTTTGGGTGTCGTTGTTTCCACCCGGTCAAACGTCAAACCGTCCGCCTCAGCCACAAAGCAGCATCCGTCGCGGCGCCGTCGTCTTCGAAGGTGACGAAGACCTTCCGAACGGGTCAGGTCAGCTGAAGGAGTGCGCATGATTTCCAGAGTGGGGAGTGCATCCCACACTTTTCTCGCGGAAAAACGCTCTTCGAAGATTTGCACTGCAACCGGCAACCTCACACATCCAGTTCTGATGCGACATCCCATGCGGTCTGACCAGCCACACCTCCATGTGTGGCAAAAACAACTGCACCACACTGCACCCCTTAACTTCAAGGATCTACTGAATCTACTACAGTATATAGGACTGTAGCATGAATCAAACACTCTCTTGGGCGCCTGGAGATGCAAAACGAGTCTGGAGACAGGGGAAGGATTGATGCATCAACCGCCGTCTGTCAGCACCTTCCAAGTGTTCACCTGGCTGGTTTCGCCCCTGACACTGCTCTCCATTGGCTACCCCGAAAGACTATTGCAAGAGTGTGTGTCTAGACCTCCAACCTTCGAAGGCGGTTCGACCCCCCAACTCCTCCTGGGCTCCATCTTCTTAGGTTGGAGCCCAGGCGTTGACTGGCATCTGTCCCTCCCTGCGCTGCCCTTTGGGCCCTCACAGTGCTGTTCACATCGGGCTTGATGCCTGGGCGGTGTTCGGGATCGGCAGCTGGGATCGGGCTGGCGGTAAAAACAAGAGCCAAACGTCCAGCCGAGCGCCCAAGACTTGCTTCAGATTGCTCCAAAGATTCTGTGCTTGAAGCATCTTGAAACATATAAACATGGAAAGAGAAGCAATGCTGAGCCATGGTCAACGGATGTCCGTGGTCACCTAAGAAAAACCCAGAAAAGTCACCAAATGGTTCCAAACGATCACATTGACCACGTCCGAAACACCAGTTGCGAAACAAACCATCGCCCATGCCACCTCGCCCATGCCACCATCCAAACCGCCCTGTCGAAGCTGAGCTCGCCAGGATGCTGTTTAACTTCTCCGCGCAGGGGCACTTCTCAAAGAGCTCGTGCAGCTCCTCACAACAAGGCATTTCGGTGCCTTCACCTTGGCCTCTTCAGGCCTTCGTCCAAAAAGCAGCCAGGCGTTCCGCTTTCCGAACTCAATCCTCCAACCGAAACGTCCAGGCCGTCCAGATCCAACGCTTCGGGTGCTTCCAACCCCAATCCTTTCAGAATGAAGACGACCGGAAGACCTGGTGTCAACACCCTGGACCAATCCATTTCGACGACCACTTCCTGGTTGGTAGGGAAAATGTTCACCAGCCTAAGCCTACGGTGGATGGATGTCTCCCTATTCAAATACACACCCATTTACTCAGGTTCATTCCTGGTTCATTCCTGGTTCCAACTGGAGGTCCATACCTGAAAGTCCATCGCTCTGCTAGATTCACTGACGCCGCACGGGTCGAGCAAGCGAGAGAGTTGCCTCATCTTCCCTGCAGTCGATTAGGGAGCTGATCCAGTCATCACATGGCAAAGTGAACAGATGCGCAAAGCCTCCTGTCACCCATCTACTAAAGACATCCAGTCAGTCAGCCTCCCAAAGTCAGGGGCTCCATGTCTGACATCATGTAAGGGCCCTCACCACCTGCCTCACCGAATCATCGGTCTCCTCCAAGGGGATCTGATCCGGAAGATCGTGGAGGATCACCTGAGGCGGAAAGTGTTGGGCCCCAAGAATCCTTGGGCCTCCCATGGCAGGGCTCCTGACAAACCATTTGGTTCGCCCGACCATCGACCATCCTCAGCCGCGATCACGGGCAACGGGAGGTCCGTCTCCTGGTGCCTGTGCCCCCACAGCCATTTCCAAGCAGGCTGTGGGTCAAGGAGTGATGAAAGAACCGGCAGCCCGCTGGCCCGCAGTCGGCCAGCGCCAGCCCTCTCTAAGGAGTGGTCCCGTTGCTGCAAAGGGGCGGCTCTGCAGCAAGGAGCGGTAGGAAGAATATTATGACACAACAAATAACAAAAATAATAATAACAATAACAATATAATAAAAAATATATATTTCAATATATATATATATATTATTATGTTATATTATTGTCTATCATGTTGTATAGTATAGTATAATATAATATAATATAATACAATATATATATAGTACAGCGTGTACCTTGGGAGTCCAAGACTATTCTTCAAATGGTCCTTCGGTGACCCGACAGGGTCTGTCCTCTGAACACTTCGGTGATTCCGAGTGAAATGATTCCCAAGGAAGCTTCCTTCTAAACAAGTTCTTGTTACTGGAAGCTTCAAATATACATACTAAAAAGCGTACCAAAAGACTCCACATCCAGATTGTGTGCTCGTCCCGACCGTGAAAATGGACCCCTGTGTGTGGTCGTCTGCGGGAGGGTAAATCGAAATACTCGTTCAAAGATAGTCATGATTTGGGATTTGAGACAAGACTGATTTCTTTCAACCCACAGCCAAGGCACAGTATTCCTCTTGCTCTTGATGATGGGTTTCACCTGCATCGCCGCCTGGGTTAGTGCGGAACAGGCTCGTCCCTCGGTCCCTCGGTCGTTCTGCGCGGTTCTGCAAAGGGCAATGCAGTGGGGTGTGAGTCTGTTTCGGTGTTTCTTCTAATTAAGGGGCTTGTATTGTGAGGGAGTTCGTACCCACACATTCCATGTATAGTTTTGTTTTTTTTACAACAAGTAATTATCTAAATAACTACATTGGCCCCAGAAACCACCCCATCTGATCGGCATATATGCCAAGTCCCATGGAGTGTCTAGTTATAGACCCAAGTGCAGTATGTGATCTTCAATCAACACAAGTCTTGACACGGGTTTCTATGTCCAATACACTGAAGCAAAAAAACTCCGGTCATGAAATCTGCAAGCAAGCCGGTGTAAAGCCCATATTTGGTAAAGAGTTCTGCTTTCAGGTGAAACAGCACCTATTCACCTTCATGTCGGGGTCAGTTGGCTGGTTTCGCCCCAGCCCACTACTAAGGGACCTCCAGCCAGGACACCCGTTGAAGGTCCGGTTATTCACCACCATCGGGATCTTCCACGATCTTCCGAACACTGCGAACACCGTCACCCTTCCAAAACCGACCTCGCCCGGTGCCCGGTGCCACGTTTCTGTTTTCTCCGTTGGTCCCAAACAAATGGCACGGCACGACACGACATCGAGCATCGTCTAGCGGAGGGCGCCGAACGCCCGCACGCACGTACCGAACGCGGCGCTCCGATCCCGACGACTTCGCCTTGTCCACCGTCACCTGTTGAGAACGTAGCCTGGGAGCGTCGCCGGTGCGAACGTTCCACGCGTTCGGCCTTCGCCCTCCCGCGGCGGAAGAACGGTTAGACCGGTTTGCCGTGCGGTTTTCGTCATGGGTCGTGATGTCAAGATGTCATGCATGTGCGAAAAATAGAGGGGTCGATTTGGTACCACATACCTATGATTGGATCCAATTGGTTGTTCACTTGGGGTTTGTCAACCAAAGGCTATCTATGGCTCTGTTTTTCGGGTGGTGGAACAGTGGAGAGTGCGGTTCTGGGGTCACTGGAAAGAGATCAACATCTTCCAAACCGGCGCCAGTGCACCTAGTAGGAACCCAAGAATCATTGACTTTCTACGGGGTGGAGAGTGGTATTGATCATAGCTTGGAAAGGTGACTTGCTTTCTTCACATCTACCAGCTTGCTAATCCATGACCTGGTGTGGAGTCTCGTTCTGTCTCTGTCTGTGACGAGAAACAGGCCTGGCCTCGGTCTCCCTTCTCCGGATGAGCTCACGATCCCATCGACCCAGGGGGTGGACCTCCTCGCTGCACTGGTGTGGGGTTTTGTCTCAGGGTCGGAGTGTTCGTTTTCAGTGGGGTAACTCACTCCTCCACGTCTTCTTTTGGGAGCTCAGCAATCGAACGAATCGAGGAGTCAACTCGAATTACAGGAGATGTGAACTGACCAACCCAAAGCGGACAACACTGGAATCAGCGCGCATCTCTTCCATTTTTCCGGACCTGAGGGGCCAGCCACTGTCACTAACCTTGGCCACAATGGCTGCCATCATATCAACCATCTGTGTTCCCTCTGCCATCAGGCCTTTTGCTACCCTCATACGATATCTCAGCATTCTGATCATCGCAGGTACCAGTATCGTCTCCATGCGGACTGCGGCCTCCTTCTCCTCCACACCAACAATCCTGCGAAGACAACCCCCGCAAACACACACACCTGGCTCATCTGAGAAGTCGTCAACTTTGAAGGCTTTGCTCCGCGAAACTCATCCCAGGCATGTTGGAGCTCTTGGATGACACCTGGCACAGCCACCAGCTGCTTTCCCGTCTCAGCAGCTTCTCTCACTTGTTCACCTGCCTGGCTCACACCTTCCTTCAAAGCCTCAGCCCCCGGCATGAGGGCAGCAGTCATCCAAAACGGAGCACTCAGGCAGCTGGAGGCCAGCGCACCCACACCGCTGATAAAGACGATGCCACGACCTCCCAGCGCTTGCACCATCCGCCACAAAGGAAAATGTGTAGCTTTTGCCAGGTAGCCAACAAAAAAGCCCCGGACGAAGGACATCATTTGGGTGGAAACACTTGGTGGCAACTGGGAGTCGGATCTGCCGCAGGGCCCAGGCGAAATTCGACCTGAGTTCTTTCTGCGAGCCAAAAGTAACGCATCATAAAGCTGAGGGTCGTGTCGCCGATCCAAACCGACGGATCATTGGGGCAGCCCGACTTCTTTGTCAACACTCCGGGTGAGCACGGCTTGGATTTGGAGGTTGGGACTTCAAATCAAGAAGTCATTGCATGCAAAAAGAGAAGCGCCAAATCACGCTAACTTCAGCCTTGCATGGCCTTCCCGAAGATCACTTCCGGAACCCTCCCCTCCAAGCTGACTATGACTATGACCATCTAAAAGTCTTTAAAAAACAACTCAAAGTCTCCTCCAAAGGTCACCGGCCTTCTCGTCCACCGCTCCCATTGACCTCCCGCCACCCGAGCCCCCCGGAGGCTCGCCCCCCCGGAGGCTCGGTGTCGCGGACCCGGTTCGTCCCAGCGGCGCGGCGTCGTAGAGGGTCTGGACGTCGACCTGGACGTCGCCCTCTTCAAATTGTTCATGCCCTGCGAGGAGATGGATATGGATGTGTGACGGGGTGATGTGTCGTTAACACTCCAAACACTCCATGAAATATATATATATATGATTACTATCATTGTTATACTAGAGTATACGAGTGTATATATATATATATTACATGGACCGACCCCTGTTCTGTTCAACTACCCCAAGCTTAGCGAATGGTCAAGAATTCCATGGAGTCTTTGGGGAAGGGATATTCCTCGGAGCAGTTGTCCCCTCCCTGTGGCAGAAAGGGGTAGAGCAGTGTCTACCGGTGTTTGGTGTCCGATCTGAGCTGCTGGACAGCTGCAAAGCTGACAGTCAAAAGCTGCTAGGAAAAACCTGAAGGTACCGCAGTAGAAGTTTGCTGACAGGGTCTAGTGCAAGGGCTTCTTTTGGTTGCTCAACTGGGATTGAACCCATCTCTACCTTGCTAAAGGCAAGAAAAACACAAGCGCACAAGGCGCTACTGCGCTACTAGGGAAAACAATAACCTCCGACAGTCAAATGCAAACATGCTTGGAACATGTTGGATGATGACTGTCCTCTTGAAAAGGTGCTGCACGCCTGCAAGGATGCAGATTGGGATGTTCATCTGTGCATCCATATTCATCTGGATGAAGCTGTCCTCTCGATGGGCATCGGAAGCAGAGTGGGTACCAAATCGGACGGCGTATGGTTTTTCAGCCACAGATGGCCATGTAGGCCGAGATTGGTGATGGGTCACATCGGGACCTTGGTCTTGCTTTCTCTCACCCCAGACGCGACCCTGGACCCGAACCTGTTTTCACGGAGCATGCAGGCGATCCAAACGAATCATCAGTTCGAGTTGCTCCAAATGGTGGTATTACAGTATACAATACATAATATTAAATAATACTGGTATCGGGTTTGTGGTGTATCTTACCTTCTTTAGGTTTCGGCTCAACGCCTTCCAGTGGTTACCCGAGTCGGCTGAAGGTTGAGGGTTCAGTGCAATGGACCAGTGGATTTGGGCGCCGCTAGGGCCAGCTGACACAGGACATCCCGTCAATGTCCTGTTGCGCGCTGAACAGGGGCATTGGGTTCATCCGGTAACGGACCAGATCTTCTTTGTTGATGTTGCTGCGGAGCAAGGAGCCTTTCGCAGCTTCTTCATGTGGGTGCCCTTGGTTGAGGAGGCACATGTGGTTTTGTGCCCGACAGCTTAGGCGGTTAGTTTTGAGGAAGATCGAAATCCTTTCGCTGGATTGCAGCGCTTTGCAGAACTGTGCGCCGGACTCGGTGGCTCGGCTTTCGGTGTTTCCACTTCAGGATTTACACCGGTTTTGGCAGTGGACAAATCCCCTCTAGCTTGTGACTTGTTGAGACAAAATCAGTTTCCTTGTGTTTTGGAGGGATCTCTGTCCGATTTAAAGATCCAGAAAGAAATTCGAGTTCAAATGGGGCCCCAAAGACAGGTGGCTTCGTGGTTGGCCATGCCAGCCCTTTAGCTCTTTAGGGCCGAAGCGCCACTTCATGGACGAACGGGCGCACAGTTGACTGGTGCCTCCTTCCTCCTGATTGAATGCGTTCAGGCAGCTGGGCAGGATCCAGCAGCGCTTCAGACTCTTAAGCGCTACTGTGAGCTCACCAATTCCCATTGGGTTTCTAAAGTCCTTCATCTTCAGACTCCCTGGGCATCAAATCGCACGAGATGCTGTTGCACACCCTTTTCTTGGTTGTGGGCCCCAGGATTTTGAGCAGGAACTTCAACATCCTCCTGCCGCTTTGCTTAAGCATGGTCTTGATGATTGCACCATGGTTCATGAGGCTGGTAAGATTCTTGCTCGAGCTCAACTTTCTCTACAGCAGTTCCTGGCACCCCGCTATGTCAACATGCTGACGGAGGTACCTCGGGCTCAGGCTTTGGCCATGCTTCAGCGGATTGACTTTGACATTGCCTTGCCTTTGGTCATGTTTCTTTGGGACGCTGGACATTGGACCTTGCTCCTCCTTCAAAAGGCGCCTGATGGTCTACATGCTCATCATTATGATGGCCTTCGACGTTCTCCTCCCCATGAATTGGATCTTCTCCTTGCGCTTTTTCAACAGCATTTGGCTTGTCAAGAATGTCATCTATGTGTCGATCAGGGTGTCCTTCAAAAGGATGTGTACTCCTGTGGCACCATTGCTCTTCTGCGCCTGGGTGCCCACCTACGTGTGTTCCAGCACATTGATGCTGCCACAGCGGAGTTATGGTATCAGAATCTTCATCGGCGACAACGTCTTCATGGCTGTGGACCTCTCACTGAGGCTGCCGTTGTGCAGTGAAGCTAAAGATCCATGGAGGCAGCCCAAGCAGCTGGGTAACACCAAGTCTCCAGGAGTTGCATACTCAGATTGCACAGAAGGCCAAGCACAAGCACGGTGCTGAGACCAAGAGCTCTGACAAGAAGACCAAATCCAAAGCCAAGCGTGTTGATCCTGTTGTCAACCTCACACCGGATACATTGGAGATTGCGGCAGGTGCCTTTCAGGATGTTGATGGTGCCAAGCTGGATTGCATTCCTTTTCAACAGGTCAAATCTGATGCTCGTGGAGTCGCTATCTGCACCATCGAGGAAGCGATCACTTTAGCCAAAGAACCACAAAAACTTAGCGTCGATGCTTTGGCCTTAGTCACCATTGGTATGTTGCCCAACAATGTCACCTGGAGTGTGGATGTCGAATCGCTTCAATGGCCGGCAATCTATGCTCCTACAGGTGATCCAATTTTGGTGGCTGGTTCCCTCATTCAGTTGGGTGATCATGATGTCTATTTTGCCAAGATGGACAATCCTCCTGAAGTGGGACAGGTTGCCACGGCTATTCTTCGTCTTCAGCTTTGGAAGGATCAGACCGATCTCAATTGGGATGATTTCAAGCGCGGGCCAGTGCGCATGCTTCTGCAGACTTTGCCTTCCCGTCGATTTTGCGATGGAGTTCTTTGCAAGGGACAGTGTGCTTGCTTTCATGCACCAGTCGATGAAGAAATCGACCATGTCCTCATTGACTGTTGGGCATGGCGTTGGCTTGAGGAAGATGGCAAAGTCACTACCAAGGATAAGTCGCAGGTCTTCTCCATCTATGCGAGAGTGCCTCTTAGTGCGGTACGTGGTATTCTGGCAGAATCAGGTTGGCATGGATTCTATGCTGAGCCTCGTGCTTCTGAAGGTCAAGGTACTGACATCAGCTATGCCGTCATTTGGTTACCCAAGATGGCTCTTGAAGCTGTTCAGAATCTTGCACGCCGGCATGATCAGATCTTAGGACTTGCCCGTATCCGGAACAAGCTTGGTGTTCGTCTCTTGCCCAAGGATGAGCCTTTGATGCTGCAAACCTTGTTTCCTGATCGGTCCATGATTGCAAAAAGGTCCGCGCAAATGCTGTGATCCGATCCCAAGGAAGTCGATCAAGAGGATCATGATGATTCCATCGGGGATGCCACAAAGCCCTAGTTCAGCATGAATTTGATCGCAGGAAGGTAGTGGCTGGCGCACTTGCAACTTTTGGCCTGGAACACATAGAAGATCACCCTCAATGAGGTAACCAGCTGTGCCTGGAGAGGGAGTCAGATCCGTAGTGTCATCCTGAAGGAAGTCACCACGTTCACAGGGATGTCATTCAAAGTGGCTGCATGTAGAACAGGTAATGGCCGATCAAGAGTAACCAAACCCGTAGGCGGATCCACTGCAGTAATCGTGGCTTCAACTGTGCGTTCCAGATAGTCCAAAGAAGAACGAGAGGCTGGATTCAGATCTTGAAAGAAGTGCCGAAGAGAGCCTTCACGACGATGCTTCAGAGCCCGGGCTCGCTGATCCAATTGCCAGCGCTCAAAGGAGCGAAAATTGCAGTGGTAGTCGGCAAAGATATGCTCGTAAACCTCCAATGCTGGCAAGGTAGTCGGAAGAAAGCGAGGAGAGGACTGAAGACGAATTCTTCTCTGTGTCCACCAGGTCACAAAGCCATGAGCAAAGCCGGAAGCACAACGAACTGAAGTCCAAAGCATGGCCTGATGAAAGCGAGCAGAGGAATCCGTACGACCAGCACGTAGAGCATGAAGTAGACTCTGCATACGCCGAAGCTGCTTATACCACAAATGTGTAGTCTTGCCCAACAGCGATGAGATCGGAGCAAGCTCGCCAGGTCGTGGTGGCTTCAGCCGACGTTGTTGAGCATGTCCTGGCTGTGGCTGGACATAGTGCCCTCTGCCGAAACATCCTCGGAGAAGATTTCCATGAGAGGATCCAGCAGCAGTGCGGATAGATGCCTCAACAGCCAAAGACCAAGCAGCAAAAGACTTGGTAAGATCAGAGCCCCAAGTCCAGGTAGTCCATGTGTCCAAAGAGGAATGCCAAGCTGAAGTGGTTGCCCAACGCATGTAGTGAACGCTTGAACTGTGCAACGCCCACTGCAAAGAGCTGTGTCTCAGCAAAGTGCCATAGTCCAGGAGGTAACTCTTGAACACAAGCGGAACGATGAAGCAAGCCAGCAGGATTGGCGCATCCAATAGCCACTTCAAGTGAGGATTGAGAAGACTCATTGGAGCAACCCTCAAGAAAGCGCCCAGAGCAAGGGGGTTGCTGAGGCGAGCTCTGATGATAGCAAGATTCAGGCCCAGGATTGGTCGCCTCACCCAAGCGACAAAACCAAGTGAAGATAACGAATCCTTACCATAGGACCCCAAAGCAAGGCAGGCGCGTGGAGGTAGGACACCTCCACCGCCGAGATAGTCATTCACCGTCAGTCCGCTGCCGCTTGAGCAGCAGGGCTTCAATGCGATTCATCTGTTCATCGTTGGCACTTTTCAAGTCATCTCGCCGCGTGCGATTGAGGGAGGCAAGATCACCTCGAATCTGCTCGGTAGTGGCAGCTTGCGGGTGCACGGCCTGGCCAATCTCCTCCATGCGTGTTTGCTGCGTGCCAAGTTGCACATCAATCTGCTCAAGGTGTCGTTGATGGCTTCCAAAATGAACTGCCAGCTCATCCATCTTGGCGCCCTGGACTGCATGCTGAGCCTCAAGCTTCTCGACACGGGCACCAGTGGTGTGACACCAGTTGGCAAGTTTGTCATTTTGCGCCTTGAGCTCCGTAACAGTTCATCAGCCAAGGCTTGAGAAGAGATGGCCTCCATGCTGACATCAGGGGAGGAAGTATTCAAGGACCCCACTGCTTTAGCCACTTCATGTTGCAGATCACTCTTCAAACGGGTTCCAATTCAAAGTGGGATGCGAAGTGCCTCAAAGCTTTGACGAAGGACTTTATTTAATAAAATCCTTTCGAGCTGAGGTCATTCCCTTATTTTTTTGTGTGCCAACGTTGGCAGCCAAAAAAATGGCTAGCTTTTGAGCATTTATGGAATCCCGCGCCAACGTGTTTTATGGAATCCTGTTACCCAGGTTGCAGGAGCTAATGACTAACAAGCATATTGGCGTATTAAATTCCTGGTTTGGGGGGGTTGGAGAGGCGAAGGTTCTGGCTCTTTTTCAGCGTATGCTCTCGGTCGTCTTGCTGGGGCAGAGTGCTGACATGATTCTTCAGAATCGGGCCACGCTTAAGTCTATTTTGGTTTGCTTGTCCTTCATGCGCGTGCATTGCTTGCTTGTGACCATAAGATCAAAATGTGGA